CCCTCCCTGCAGCCCGCCCCCCTGGGGCTGGGCGCTCGGCGGCGGCGGAGCGCGGTTTGCGCGCACGGGGAGCGAGAGCAGAAGTTCGAGACTCGCCGAGGGGGGAGCCCGCGCCGCAGCTTCCTGCCCCCGGCCCAGCCCTCTGGCCCCGGCGGCCTGCAGCCTGACTTCCTCCCCCCACCCCGCAGCTCGCCGCCCGGCTCCTCGGACGGGGCCGCCGCGATGGGACGCCGCGCCCGGGCCCCTGCGCGCCGCTGAGCCGAGCTCCCGCGTCGCCGAGCCCCCCGCGACCGCTGCCAGCCGCGGCTCACCTCGTCCCCCAGGCCGGGAGCCTCGCCCCCGGCCCCCCGGAAAGCTGGATTTCCGAGGCTGGAGGCGCCTGGCCGGCTGGGTGGGGACCACCATGGGCAACGCGGCCGGCAGCGCAGAGCCGCCCGCGGGCCTGGCCGCGCCGTCACCCAAGCAGCCCGCGGCGCCCAAGCAGCCGATGCCCGCGGCGGGCGAGCTGGAGGAACGGTTCAACCGCGTTCTGGTGAGGCTGACCTGCACAGGGCGCGGGCGGGGTGTGTGTGTGTGTGTGTGTTGGGGGGCGGCAGGAGCTCGGCACGGGTCCCCGCCCCCCGGGGGCTCAGGTGCCGCTTGGAGATCCCCAGCCCCGTGGCTGCCCTCCGCGGGGTGGCACCGACGGTGGCTTCTTTCAGTGACTTAGCACTCTCCCCCCAAAACTTTCTTCCTCAACCACCCAGTCTCCCTCCCCAAGACACCCCATCCCCCCAGTGCTCTCGGATCTAAAGGTCTAAGCAAAAATGTCCTGTGAGCAAGTTGGGAGTGGAGCCCGGAAAAGGGGTTCGCGGGACACCCCCATCGCCACTGCACACAGGCCCAGCCACCAGGCACGGGTCTGGAGCATCTGCTGGCGTCTCAGGGTCAAAGATGGCAGGGCTGACATGTCACCTCCTGGCAGCTGGAGACGAGCTGGGTGTTTGGTCCCAATGTGTTGGTGCCTAGGCTGCTGGCAGCTGGGCTGTCAGATCCCGCAGAGGGAATGCTGTGTTTCTCGCCCCCTCTATCCGGGAGAGGTTGCCCAGGGTCCTTATCTGGGCACCCCTTCCTACCACTGCAGGGATTAAGGGAGGAAGGATGGGGTCAGGAAGAGTTGCTCACTCTGGCTTGGTGTGGAGCAAAAGTCTGGAGGCACCCACACTGCCCACTGCCACCTGCTCCCCGGGAATTGGGGATCTGGGGCCTTGGCTGCTGGGGAGGGAGCCATCAGCTCAGGCCGAGCCTAGAGGCAGTCAGGATGTGTTGGGTGGGTGGGGGCTCCCTAAGACCTGGTGGGAGGCAGAAGTAAGGAGAAAGGGTCACTCATTCTCACTTCCCTTTCCCAGCCCAGCCCTGCTCCCAGGCTCCCAGGCTCCCAGGCTCCCAGGCTCCCTTCTCTAAGTGCCTGGTGGCCTGTCTCCTGTCAGCTCCCTTGCTGGACACTGGGTGACAGGCGAATAAGGCCCTGCCTTTCCCCAGAGGCACTGCCCAGTCTGAGCAGCCTGGCACTGCAGGTCTGAGGGGGGTGGGGGGCCCAGGGCGGCGCAGGCAGCAGAGCAGTGTGGCTGGTGGCCGTCTCAGTGCTTCTCCCCTCTACCTCCCTGACATCATTTCCCTTCCCCTGGCGATTAGGCCGCCCTTGCCAGATCCTCTGCATGGCCCCTCCTAACAGTTCCTGGAAATCTTGGCTGCTGCCCCCTCCCAGGAGAAAGGCTAGGAGGGTTTGGAGGAGCTCTGGGGTGGGGTCTGGTCTATGCTTGAGAAGCATCTTGCTTGGTTATGGGAGAGGGAGGGACTCTGAGGGACACCTCACACCAGGCTGGGCCCTGATTACCCCATCCCTACACCTGTTCCCCTTTCCCCAAACCCATGGCCTGGCAGAGCTGAGCTGAGCTGAGCAGATGGGGAGGGGGGGTGAATGAAGAGAGACAGTATCTGGGGCCATCTGGGGAGCCTGAGTTGCTGGTGGATCCCTGGACCCCTGCCAGCTTGACTGGGGAACCCAGGTCTCCCCCCACCCCAGCCCCCTGAGTGTGTGTCTATGGATGAGGATTGGACTGGCTCTCAGGGTGAGGTCCAGGCCCCAATTCCTTCTCTGTTACACGCACTAATGAGGAGGAGCCATGTGAATAATTCAGACCAGTGGAAAGTCCAGAAGTCAAGTGGTTGAGGTTCTGATGCATGTGTGGGACTTGATTGCTCTGCTGGTGTTTTGGCCTTTGCTCAGATTGGCTGAGTCTGACACGAAATGCCATTGGGAGTGCCTAAGTACCAGGGTGTGGAGGGCGGAGGCCCCAAGATGGGCCTTAAAGGGTGTCCTGGGGGGGGGGGGGAAGGGTGGTGGCTGTGTAGAAATCTAGGGCAGCACCACCCCAGCCCCCGGGAGCCCCAGTGTGTTTACACCTCATCTTCCTGGGGACACATCACCCTGTCCCTCATCCTGTATAGACAGAATCACTCAACCCAAGGTTACTTGGCTAAGAACTTGGCTCTTCTCACTCCCCACCAGCAGGGGCATGAGTTCCATTGGGTGGCAGCCTTGGTCCCTGCCTGAGGCTGCCCAGGGCTAAGGCTTTGGCTGAACCCACGGGCCTGGCGATGGGAATTGTAGGGCATGCCTTCATCTGAGCACGGCCTTCATCTGAGTCCTGCCCTTCGTGAATGTCCAAGAGAAGAACCTAAGACGGCTGAGCGTGATGGGCCATCTCCCCCAAAGACGCCCAGTCTTGATGGGAGAAGCACAGTTCTCCCGCCTTGGGATCTATTTACTTGGCCCCGGGGAACCTCTTCCTTCAA